AGAGACAGAGACAGAGACAGAGAGACTGAGACAGAGACAGAGAGACAGAGACAGAGACAGAGAGAGACAGAGAGACAGAGACAGTGAGAGACAGAGAGACAGAGACAGAGACAGAGAGAGAGACAGGGAGAGACAGGGACCGAGACCGAGAGAGAGACCCCAGGCAGGTGGGTGGAAGCCGGCGGCAGGTCAGGTCGGGACAGGGTGGGTGGGGACCGGGCAGAGCGGGGCTTGGAGGAGGCTGCGTGTGAGCAGGAGAGGAGGAGCAGGGTTTTTTAGGGTTTTGTCTTGGGAAAGAACCTGCGGAATCGAGTGGTAACTGAGGGCACAGACGGAGGGGAAAGCGGTTTGTTTGCCTTTTGAGATGGGGGGGAGCAGGCGTCTGCGCTGGGGAGAAGCTCCGCTGACGCTGACGCTGACGCTGACGCTGACGGGGTGGGGGCGCCCGGCTGGGAAGTGCGCCCGGCGGGCAGGGCCTGGGGCTCAGACTCTGGAGGAACCAGCCGCACCCCCAGCCCCGCCTGTCCCCAGCGCTGTGCACACGGAACGAGACCCGGGCTCTGCAAAGCCCCCATCGCCGCCCACCACAGTGGACACCGGTGTAAAAGGAGAGTTTTCAAGCAGTTCGTGAAAAACCAAAGCCGGTGCTTGGTCCTCCAGCAGCCCTGGGCCGGTCGGCAGGGGCAGATTTCCCGCAGGGCTTGAGGCACTCACTGCGTTCATCCTGAGGCCGCAGCCGGCTGTGCGGGAGGGCGTCTGCTGTCCCCTTCGGGCTTTGTCTGCTATCAGAGATCAGCCGGTGAGTCCTTCAGCGCAAAGGAAACGTGGAGCTCCTGTGAGTAAAGCCAACGTGTGAATTGTGCGAAGCCCACCAGCAGAGGTGGGATACTCGCACGAAAATTGTCCAGGCCGGTGTTCATGGGGCAAGAGAGAAAGCAGGATGAAGAAGCCGGCGATCGGCTGGACTTGGGAGCTGCATCTGTCTGGGGAAGGCGGCTTCGCTGAGCGCTTCCCCGGGCCGGCGGGTGAGGTGGGCCCGGCTCAGTTTCGCTTTCCTCTAAAGGAAGCCTTTGGAAGAAACGCTCCACTTTCAGTCACGCAGGGCTCCGGCTTCCGCAGTGTTTGGGGCACTTCTCGTAGTTGGTTTTGCTTAGTCAAGAGTTACTCAGGCTCAGTTTACTGTAATTCTGTTTTACTAATGAGATCCTTGTATTTTCATTTTTACTTTATTTTTATTTTTATGCACACACATACACACAGAGAACTAGATTGCAGTGTGTTATCAGTTGGGCTGGCAATGTTCACGGAGGAAGAAAAACAATGCCCCCCCCCAGTGCCCAGACGCCCCCGCCTGGGAAGGGCTGCTGTGACCCAGGGCGGAGTCCCCGCTGGGACCCTGAGCGTGGACACGGGCAGGCGAGCCTGGTGTGGGATGACGGCCAGCCACAGAAACCCACTTCCTGCTCCTCCAGCAGGAGCACGGTGGGGACCACAGGAACTGGGGGCCAGGGGGAGTGGGGAGCTGAGGTGCAGGGCTGGTGAGCTCTGCTGCAGCCTCCGCCCCTGGCTGGCGGAGCTCAGGTTCCGGTTCTGCCTGTATCAGTTCACAGGGCCTTGGGCAGTATCGGGGTGCAGGGCCTCGGTGGGGGCATGGTGGGGTCTGGGTCAGGGCCCTTGCTGTCATCGGCCAGGAAGTGAAGCCCTCACCCCACTGCCCGGTCCTGCACAGGGGGCCTTTCAGGGGCTGCTGCCAACTCTTTCCTGTGTTGTTGGTTGCAGGGGACCCCCGCCCCCCCCCCGCCCCGCTATGGGGCAGACTTCAGTCAATCACCCCGGGCTTTGACACCACCTTGTGTCCTGTTTTGTCCTTGCTGGGCCCAGTTTATTCCAGAGCTCGAGGACATCAGCGTTTTTGGGGTTTTTTTCCCCCTTTTTCCTAAAATGTCTGCCTCAGAGAATGCAAGGCTTGGATTGCTCCTGGTTTTCCAGCACCTTGAGTTGAGGTCTTCTTACCACAGGGTCGTGTGCACACCCGTGTTCAAAGCGAGCAGCTCACGCTGGCTGAGCTCGGGCGGCAGCCGAGGTGCAGGCCCGAGGGTGAACTGAGGAGAACGCTGGTGCTCAGACACAGGTGGTTGGCTCAGCCGTAAAGAATGAATCCCAGTCTTCCACGGGAGAAGCAGCGGATCTGGAGACCTTCATGGTGAGTGAAGTCAGTCAGCCGCAGAAAACGAAATGGTCACACGATTTCTCTTATGTGGGAAATCCAAACTGTGAATGCATTACAGAAGTAAAATATAGGAGAGATGGTGCGACTCAGAGAGGCAGACGTTTTGGAGGTGGGGAAGGAGGACCGCAAGGGCAGAGATCAGGAAAGATCCCCATTTGGTGTATGCGCACCAGTTCCTCTCAATGATTGCGAGTTTCTCCATTGCAAACACTTACCAAAAATAAGCAAGGCCGTCCTGAGGCCCCTGCTGACGTTTCCCTGCTGAACTCTCTAATAGACCTGGGACTGGCAAGGCCAGGCCATTCCCACCCGCCTGCTGGGTGTGGAATTCCATTTCCCAACCCTTCCCCTGGCCTCTCCAGCCTGGGTCCCTCCTTGGCTGTGGAGCAAGGTATCTCGGACCCCCCAGACGTTGGCTTCCTTCAAGACCCTCTGGGGAGGCACCAGACCAGGGGCCCCAGGAACCCTGTGGACTTGATTGCGGGATACAGAGGCGCTCGAGACAGCACTCCCGGGGTCACGGGATTACCATGGGGTGCCATACAAACACAGAACTGGCCGTGGGGCCTGCCGAAGTCATCGGATTCGTGCTGCTAGAACATAAATGTGACAGAGTCAGTCTTCATGTATGCACTGGTGCTTACACGTAAAAAGAACTTTGAAAAAAATGGCAAGGGCTTTTGCTCCACTGGCTCGGTGCAAACCTCACCCCCGTGAGTTTGTTAATCCCGAGTGAGAGATAACATCAGACACAAGTGGAGGGCACTTCTGGTGCCAGGCAGCCAAGCTTCCCAAACTCGTCTCCTTTGCCCCCCCCATGGCCCAGCATCACAGATGAGAAGAGGAGGCAGGGCAAGCACCCCAGAAGCAAGGCTGTGACGGCCCATCTCTGAGTGTTCACTGTGGTGCTGTGGATGCCTTAGCACTGTCCGATGACAGGATGTGGGAACTGGAAAGTCTCCGGGAGAACGCTGGGTTCAGTTTTCTCACTGTCTGGAACAGGAAACTGAGGAGCGGGTGGACACGAATGCTTCAGGCCCCAGTCTTGGAGCCTAGAGGTGCAGGGAGGTCAGCATCCTCCATGGCCGCCTTTGCCCTTGCAGGGGGTGCCATTGGGTGGCTTATCCCATTCAGTTTTCTAGGCCATTTGTGAAATCTGCTGTAGCTTTAAAATGTTCATTTTGTCTCTGCTTTTTTCTGGAGCAGACCCTATAAAGCCAGAGCAGTGCACCCTGCCACGTCCTCCGGCCCCATTCAGATTCCCCACAGGCCTCCTCACTGCCACCGTCCCTCAGTGACTGTTGGAACCCCTAGGTTAAGCTCACTTGCCTTGCACTGCCAGCAGCCGAGTCTCTTGCCTGTTCCCAGTCCTTTTCAGAACAGATTATGGAGGCTGCGCATCTAGTTCAACCCTTTCTGTCCCTCAGCTGATCCTCACGTCCCTTTTGTGCCATCCTGGCCAGAACCAAAACCTTTCGGGGTGGAGAACTCACTGTGACTCCAAGTTCTTCTGGAAGGAAAGGTAATGGTGGATTATCTTTTCCTAATGCCCTAGAGAGAAACACGTGTTCCTAGAAGATTCAGCCTCTTTACACTGATCCCACCGGGGATGGGTAATTGTAGTAGTCAACCTGACTGGGGAAAGCGTGCCCAGACTGAATGTTATTCCTGGGTGTGTCTTAGAGCATTTCCAGATGAGATGAGCATTTGATCTGCTGAGCTGAGTAAAGCAGATGATTTTGCTCTGTGATGGGCTCTTCTGACTCATCAGTCACGGGCTATGACCAATCCATCAATCACAGGCTCCTCCAATCCATCAATCACGGGCTTTGTCCAATCCATCAGTGATGGCCTCTGTCCAGTCCACTAATGATGGGCTTTGACCAATCCATCAGTGAATGTTGGGCTCCATCCAATCCATCAGCACTAGGCTTTATCCAGTTCATCGAGGACCAGATTAGAACAGGAAGTGGAGGGAAGAAGAATTCACCCTTTGCTTTCTGGCTCCCTTCCTGAGCTTCGACAGCTCATCTCATCTGCCTTTGGACAAGGATTTACATGACTGGCTCCCCTGGTTTTGGGGCCTTGGGACTTGGGCTGAAGCACACCATCACCATTCCTGAGTCTCTGGCTTGTAGATGGCAGATTGTGGGATTTCTCAGCCTTTAATCAATGAGTGCATTTCTCATAACCAGTCTCCCACACTCTGTCTCTGTCCATCTGTCCGTCTGTCTCTCCCCCTCTTCCTAATACAGCACCAATTCTGGCATACTGTAAACATACTTCTATGTATAATGTACATGATATACATTATTTTATCACTTGGGGCTCCATGAGAAAAATGGAAAGACTATGAAGTCTTAACATGTTTAACTGAAGGTTGACCAGTGAATGAAGAGACAATTCAGAGATGTGGACACAGTCGTGGAAGCAAAGGGGTGGGTGTGTGACACACTTGGAAACCAATCACAGAGGCAAACTATTACTCCCCCAAACCTTAAGGAGCAAGAATCAGGTTACAGTAGCCAAGGACATGAGCTGCCCTGCAAGAAGGAGGGCCTTCAATGGAGGGGCTCAGCTGTTAGCATGTCCCCATCTTATCCTGCGCTGATGACCTGCTGAATTTCTACCCTACTGTAATCTTGTTTGTCTTTGAGGACAGAACTTCCTCTTCAGGTAGGCTAGCAAAACCAGCTGAATCTACGATGACTGCCAGACAACCTCTACCTTTGTTGTGATTCCATCTGCATGCTGAATCACAGACCTCCCAGTGACAGTCGGTCATTACCATGAAGATGACCTGAAAAACTGCAGAATGCAAAAAGAGGGGGCACCGGAATTCCTGGATCTCTGCCCAGTCCCCAAAAGACAAATATCTCTCCCTTTATGAGCCTATCCTTCCCCCATCTTGCTCTGTTCCAGTCCAGGTAATTTTTACTTCATTTGATTCTGTACATTTGTTTTCAGCTCTATACATTCATTTTTATTGTGGTAACATAACATGTAACATAAAAATTTACCACTTTAATCATTTTAAAGTGGCATTAAGAGGGCCAGGGATTTAGCTCAGTGGTTCCAGTGCCTGCCTTGCAAGTGCAAGGTCCCGAGTTCCATACCCGGTACCAAAAAAAAAAATTAAAAAATTTAAAGTGGTATTAAGTACATTCATGCCATTGTGCAATTGATAAAAGGGTAAAATGGAAAGAAAGATATACATAGTATAAATATTGTTGTTTCATTTATTATTTATTATCAATTACATTTATTTTAACTGGTACATAAAACCATTAAAATTACATATTTACATATTTATGAGGTAACGTGCTGTTTCGATACATGAATACATTGTGTACTGCTTAAATCAGATTAAATAAACCTATTCCCTCAAACTCATCATTTCATATGGCACTTTTCAAAATCCTGTCTTCTAGCTCTCTTTTGTAAGTGTATGATAGAATTTACTGCTGAAGTATTTGGCTTCAAGTTTTAAATTACAATTTGTTATTATTTTTACCAGATAAAGGGCTATTCAGATTGTTTCTTCTTGTGTCAGTTTGGGTGATTTCATCTTTGGAGGAATTAGTGCATGTCACTCAAGTTACTGAACTGATACTACCTTACTATCCTCAGCACCTTTAGGATCAAAAAGCAGCTAACACACCTCCCTTCACCAGCACCTCGCCTCAGGAGGGCCAGATGCAGTGCTTCCTCCAGTGAGGGGCCTGCATGCCACACCCAGGCCTGGGTAACAGAGCGCCCCGCTGAGCAGCCTAGAGCATGGGGACTTGCCCTCTCTCTGAGCCGGAGGCTTGCAGCCCAGGATCACCCCTCCCCAAACTGAAGAAGCATCCTTCTTTACCTCTTCCCGGGTTCGTGTGAATTCCTGGGAATCTTTGGCATGTCTTGGTTGTAGATGTGCTGCTCCAACCTTCCCTCTCCACGTGGTCCCTGTGTGCTTGCCTGTTGGTACAAACGTTGGTTCAAATGTTCCCTTTCACGAGGACACTGGTCACAGTGGGTTCATAGTCATAGTAGGTCCTGCCCTAATGACTTTTTTCTGGTACTGGAGATTGAACTCAGGACCTTGCGGTTTTGAGGCAGGCGGCGGCACCACTGAGGTACATCCCTGGCCCCTGTCTTAACGACTTTACAAGTTAAAGTTCCTTCTGTAAAGACTCTTTCTAAATTAGGCCACATTTTGGGGTACTGGGGGTTAAGACTTCAATGTCTTTTTTGAGGGACACAATTAAATCCAAAACAGCCCCCTTTCAGAGGCTCTCTGGACTTGGAATATTGAGTCCATTTTCTTTTTTCAGAGGTGGGCTCTAGCACCAATATTGGGAAATAGAAAAGCTAGTTGGCTCCTCGGATCCTCATGCTGTGATATAATAATAGGAGCTGACAACAACAATGGTAACTTATTGAGGCATGAGTACGAGTTAGGGCCTCTTCTTCCATGGTCTTTCAATGATGTGCCATCATTTAATCCTCTGGTCTACTGTATGGGCTAAGGAATGTGATTTATGTTTTATTGGTGAAGAAAAAAACACACAGAGAAATTGAAAGTCTTGAGACTGCTGCGAACACCATGCCTACTTTCAGAGTCAGAGCATTTTTTCTCCCCTTCGGTCATTCCTGTTTTGTCCACCCTGAGATGCGGGGTGCACGGACTCAGACCTCAGGGCGGAGGAAACCATGTTAATCTATGTTGATCCATATTGGCTTTTAGAAAGAAAAGAGTCAATTTGTGATCAAATTGTATCCTTTATTGAAGACCTAGGAAAGAGAGAACTGGAAAATATTTCATTAGAATGTATTTTTTTTACAAGGCTTCTTGAAAAAAATTGCAGAGTTCTCCCGATTCACAACGTTTGGGTTTGGACTGGAGTCACACTGGCTCTTCACCACGCGTCTGAAGGCTCTGAAAACGAGGTTTCCAAGGAAGTTTTGGGACCTGGAGGGGTGGGGGGAGATGATCATTACTGTGTGCAACATAAGAGCTGTGTCCTGAGCTACTGAGTCAAAACAAGACAAGGCAACCAATAAACATGTTAGCCAAGAATGTGACCAGAAAGCAAGCTTGCTGAGAAGTCGCTAGCGCTTCCTCTGTCCTGGGGGTCCAGTTAAGGGTGCGTGCGCACAAACCACGAGGTACCAGAGGTCTGAATGAGCTACAGCCATATGAAAGGAAAACACCGTTCTTGTCAAAATGACTTTAACCCCCTGCTGGACCCTGGTGCTGCTAAGATCCCCTTTTGTCCTGCAGGTCCCTGTCAGAAGAGCGCTGTATAAACGGCCTGGTGCGGACAGCTGTCTGGGGTAGACTGCAGGGTTTTCTAACGGGAACAGCGTCATTCTTTTCCCGCATAAGCTCCTGTGCTTTGCTTTTCATATTGTGAGTCCACGACAGAATATTCTGTCAGGTAAACACACAGAAATCTTAAAATACAGGAACATCTTGAAAAGAGTTTTCTCATCAAATGAGTTGATGAGAAATGATCTGTATTTAAAGCTACAGTCAACAGTTCTTGAGTAGCCTGGGAATTAGAAATAAGGGACGATGAAGGGAAGAGATTAGCAATCTAGCACTGTTAGTATCAGACTCATTAGTGCACAGAGTCACCAGAGCTCCTCAGTGTCTTCCACGTTTATCCTCTGTTCTCCATTGTTTGGGTTTAGACTGTGAGCACGTGGTTGGCCTGCTGACCTAGTTATCCCCATCTCTAGTCTGCTTCCTTCTCTGATTCACCTCCATCCCCCCGCCAGGAGGAGAGGGCCGTGTGGTAGATATCTCCCTGCCCATGGAAAACACCCTGCTGCAGATGCTGCGTCTCTGCTTCCCAGCAACCCCATCCCCTTTGGCAGCATGGATCTCAGAACCAGGCCTGCGGCCACTGTGAACATGGGGTGTAAACAGAGGGCTCCTGGGCTCGCCAGGGCGAGGAGGAGAAGCCGTCTTCTCTGCTGAATGTGAGCCAGGAGCCTTGCGGCCTGAGCCATCCTGTGACCACGAGGCGAGGCAGCCTAGGGAGAGTAGGAGGTTGGAAACAATCTGGGTCACTACTGACTTCGCTGAGCTGCGAGTCAATCGAGCTGGAAGTCCTCGGCGTTGGGATTGCTGCCCTCACAGATGACGGGCATATTCACAGATCGATTTCGTTGTTTGAGTTGGGGTGGGGTAGATCTTTTAGTTTGCTGCAGAAAATATTCTGATGAAAATAACTTCATAACCAAAATTTTTGATCAAGACACACTGCTTTTAGACACTTCAAAGACACCCTGACGCCTACTGACTGAATTAAAAATTCTTTAACAAGGTAGTGATGCCCCATTAGGGTGTGGTCTCCGTCCACCTTTCCAGTCTTAGTCAACTCTTGTTCTATACAAGAATCCCACACACGTCATGTCATCCTTTGGCCTACAGGCAGAATTTTAGGCTGACACAAAAATGCAGGTATTTTTTGGATTAATGATCTATTTTGAAAAAAAATCAGGCAAACTGTATATATAAAGAGGTAATATTGTCAGCTATTACAATCTATTTTCCCCTCCTCATTTTTCAGTGATTATGTCTCTGTCCTTTATTAATGTAGTGTATTATATTATTTTTGTGTTAAACTAACTGTGAATTCCTAGGATAAAGCCCACTTCGTCTCATGGTATATAATCTTTTTTTTTTTTCTTTTGTGCCGGGGATCCAACTGAGGACCTTGCACTTGGGACTTGTTTAAATTATTAAAAATTGCTTCCAATAATGTTTTCTAGCTTGTGATGGGCAAATCTTATTCTTAACTTCTTTCATTAAATTTATTCCTGAATGTAAAGTGTATAGGTATTTATTACTTTTGATATTATTATAATTAATTATTATTTTATTTTGTATAGAGACAAAGTTGATTTTTATATATTGCTCTTATAGGCTG